GCAGAATAGAGACACTTCCTTCATGGGAGATGAGAAGAAAAAGGAACAGCGAGCCTAGGATGAGACACTCCTTAAAGCACACCTCAACCAGATCTCCCCCCAGTACCCCATTCAGCTATGAAATCATCAATGGCTTAAGCCACCAATGATGTTAGCACCTCAGTATCCAAGGACCTTTCAATGGTGCCACTTGCAGGATACAAAGTCTTCAGTACAAAATTACATTTTATATATAAAATCTGATTTCCTCAATCAGTATGAAGGTTTCTCAGAAAACTGGGAATCAATCTACCTCGAGACCCAGCTATACCACTCTTGGGCATATACCCAAGGAATGCTCAATCATACCACAAGGACACATGCTCAACTATGTTCACAGCAGCATTATTCATAATAGCCAGAACCTGGAAACAACCTAGATGCCTGTCAACTGAAAAATGGATTAAGAAAATGTGGTACATATACACAATGGAATACTACTCGGCAGAGAAAAATCAAGGACATCATGAAATTTGCAGGCAAAAGGATAGGACTAGAAAAATATCATCCTGAGTGAGGTACCCCAGACTCAGAAGGACAAACATGGTATGTACCCACTCATAAGTGGATACTAGTGTAAGGCAAAGGATAACCAGACTGCAACCCACAGCTCCAGAGAACAAGTTAACAAGGAAGTCCCAAAGAGGGATGTATGGATCGCCCTGGGAAGGGGAAATAGATGAGATCTCCATGAGTAAACTAGGGATGAGGGTGGGCAATGGAGGATAGGGGATAGGGGATGAGAACATAAGGGAACAGGATGGTCGAACTGAAACAGGGTTGGAGGGGGAAAGCAATGAAAGAGATACCATGATAGAGGGAGATATCATGGGGATAGAGAGAAACCGGGTGCTAGGGAAATTCCCAGGATTACACAAGGATGACCCCAGCTTGGACTACTAGAAATAGTGGAGAGGGTGCCTGAACTGAACTGGTTTACCCCAGTGATCAGACCGGTGAATGCATACCTTAACTGTCATCCCAGAGCTTTACTCCAGTGACTGATGAAAGCAGATGCAGAGATCCACAGCGAAACACCAAGCAAAGCTCCAGAAGTCCAATCAAAGAGAGAGAAGAGGGATTCTATGAGCAGGTGCATTAGGGTCATGATGGGGAAACCTGCAGAGATGACCAAACCAAACTAGTGGGAACTCATGAAAGTTGGATCAATGGCTGTGGAGCCTGTATGGGACTGGACGAGGTCTTCTGCATGGGGAGACAGTTATGTGGCTTGATCTGCTTGGGGGGCTCCCTGGCGATAGGATCAGAATCCACCCCTGGTGCATGAGCAGGCTTTTTGGAGCCCACTACCTACGATGAAACACCTTGTGCAGTCTTGAGGCAGGGGGAAGGGCTTGGACTTGCCTCTACTGGATGTGCCTCCCCATGGGAGGCCTTGCCTTCTTGTGGGGGGAAGAGGGGGGGTTAGGAAGGGGAGCCTGGGGGGAGGCAGGAGGAGGGAAGAGAGGAGGGAAGAGGGGGATCTTTGATTGGTTTGTAAAATGAGTGAAAATTTTTTCTTAATAAAAAAAGTAAAGAAAAGGAAAATCTGATTTCCTCTTATTCTCTAAGCCCATCTCCAATCCTATAAGTGCATTAATGATTCTAGTACTACTACTTAAGTCACTTCTTAAATATGTGAAAATTGTTCCAAGCATACTAAACAAAAGCTATTCTAGTATGTTGAATATTTCTAATGTTCATAATCCTTTTATGCAGCTCATAGAAAAACTACAGGCTAGAGATATTTCTCTACAGCTCATTTACAAATTCTTATCTAAATACTACTAATTATAATTAGCAAGAAAAAAAAGCATGTGATGTTAGGGATTAACTAACAACAAATAGGAGAGTTACACAGGGAACATTTTCATCCTTAACACTTTAGAAGGTTGCTGAGTACTAAGTGAATTTTCAGTATCTTAAAGAACATAATGTACACTAGATTAATCTATCCTGTTAGCATTATCCAATACAATGTCAGAAAATGAATAATTAATAACTAATATTATGCTTGTGATTGTCAGTTTTATTTGTTAATACAATTTAGAATTACCTTGAAAGAGAATCTCAATGTGGAAATAACTAGATTAAGTTGGTGTGTGGGTTTATCTGTGGGAGATTGTATTAATTATGTTAAATGATTTGAGAAGACCCCGCCCAGTAGGTAGCACTATGCTCTAGATTTGGGTCCAGGACTTGCATAAAGGTGGAGAAGAAAACTGAGGAGTAGGCATGAATGCACTCACTCTGACCCTGGCTGTGGATGGGATTAGTTGCTTCAATTTTTTTTTTTTTTTTTTGCTGTCTTGACTTCCCAACAATGATGGATCACAGCCTAGAATTGTAAGCTAAAATGACACCTTTCCACACAAGTTGCTTTTTTCAGATTATAACAGCAACAGAAACAAAAGTAGAGCAGTGGCTTTCTAAACATTCCTTAAAGTTTAGTCACTACTTTTCGGTCTTCCCAGATGCAGTGATGTTTATGGTAATATTCTGATTCCACATACTCTCTGAAGGGTGTCTTCCAACTTAGCCAATATATGAATTACCTGGAAGTCTGATTTTAATGCCTGCTTTTGCAAATGCCTACTACTCATATTAGTCTATATTTCATAGTCTCATCATTTTATTGCATCTGAGATAGGTGTGGAATAATTGTTAAAGTTGTTTATAGCTTATTTTTCGTTTGCAGTGTTGGAGACTGCATGACAACGGACACAAAAGGGGCCACCGTACCACTGAGCCAAGTACCCAGTTCCATGGTCTTAGTTCCCCTAAAGAAAGTGTATTCCTTCTTCATCTTAGGCAAAGAAGTTAAATTTGTCATTTAAACCCAAACAGTGACTGAACTGAGTAAAGTCTAGCATCCACTATTTGCCAGTGTTCCTTGGGCACACCATACCGGAATTTGACTTAGATTCTGGAAGGACTATGTCTTTTAAATCCTGGGAAATGATTGAAAATTCAATTCTGCCCTTTATAGATGGTAGCTTAGCTCTGTAGTTTCCTGATTCAAATATGTCCAATATATTAAATAGGTTTTTAAAATTGATTGTATGTGTGTGTAGGGGGGATGTTCACACATGTATGTATGTGCAGATCAGAGGACAGTTTGCAGGAGTTAGATCTCTCCTTGCACCATGTGGATTCTGGAAATCAAACTCAGGTCATCTGGCTTAGTGGTAAGTGTTTTTATCTGCTGAGCCATCTTGCTGGCCCTTGGATAAATAGTTTGATGTAGAAATTAGATCTGTCAAATTTCTCCTAGAATGAAGAAACCAAAAGCAATTCCATCCTGCCTTTAAAGTCTTGACCAAGTTCCCAACCTCATGTCCTAGGAGGGGAAAAAATGAAGGATAGTTTCAGCTACCTCATGAATTCAATCAATTCTGCTGGCCTTTACAGTTACCAAAAGTCCAGACAATTGTATTAAGAGAATTCTTCTCTAAAGAAAGACCAATCTTCTTCAGAGACTGTGGTAATAAACTTGGTAAGCAAAAGCGGCTCCCTCTGAGTGTTATGTCATCTATTCTCTCTATTTTTATGTAATTTCCCCCAAATCTTTAAAACAACACTCTTAATTCATCTTATTTTTAAAGTTGGTACTGGGGAATTGAGAGATTGAAGCTCTCCTGTGATCCCATAATCCTGTGATCTACATCATCATTTTTGAGAGAGAATTTTAATTCCATTACATTTAAAGAGTCATGATTTTAACGGTCTTACAAATGAGTCTTTCATCTATAATGATCAAAATATGAAAGTAGTGGTAGAGACAGTATAAAATCACTAGTATTGCCAACCTACCTGAGATGTGGCCACACTTCAAAATACTGTAGTCAGAGAGCAGTAGACACACTTATCACACACTACTTGCTTATGATGAGGGTGAACACAGACCTCTGTTTTCCCTATTCAATCCCAGTCTGTGGCTAGACTCACAAATAACATTACAGTTTGAAGGATAAACTAGTGGGTCTCACTCAGGTTTATGTAGGGACATGAGGTACACATAAAGGTAATATGCATGTTTTCCTGGGCCTTCCTCTCAATCTATGCTTGTCTAGATCATTACCTATGGTGATATTTTATTTGTATTCAAATGTTATTTGTATGTTAATAATTAAAGTTGCCCCAGGGTCAGAGCTATTAGCAAGCCATAGGAAAGCAGGGCAGTGGTGGAGTACGTTTGTAATCCCAGTACTTGGTAGGCAGAGCTAGGTAAGTCTCTGTGTGTTCAGGGATACAGCCAGTATTAGATACACAAGCCTTTAATCTCAATACCAATCATAGAAAACCTGGAGGTCTATACAGACAGGCCATGACGAGGCGGTCATGTGGTTGTGTTTACAACCAATGAGAAGGCAGAACAGAAACACTATAAAAAGACAGACACACAGGAAGTGGTTCTGGTTCGGAGAGGTAGGACCACCGCAGGAGGAAGGGTAAGGTTTTAGCTCTTAGCTCTGACCTCTTGGCTTTCTTCTTTGCATTGGTTCTGTGTTTCTTATTTAATAAGACGATTGGTTACATCTACAATTACCATACCAGAATGCTGGGAATTCTGAATTATGGCTGTTACATTATGTGCCCAAAGCCAGAGCAAAATAAAGGACTTATAATGTAAATATTCCTTAATAGTCCACACTTAGAGCTTCAGAAATGTGTGTGTGTGTGTGTGTGTGTGTGTGTGTGATGTATGCTCGTTCCTGTGTGGAGGATAGTGGCATTTTTGCTCTCTCACTCTCTGCCTTACTCTAATGGGACAGGATGTCATACTTAACCTGGAATTAGGCTGGCTGTCAAAAAAAAAAAAAAAAACAAGAATCCTCTTGCCCCATCCTCCTACCACCTTCCATAGCATCGAAGTTGTAAGGGCATAAAACCACATGTAAAGAACATGGATGCTGGGATTCAAATTCAGATATGCACACATGGGTAGCAAGTGCTCTTACCTGCTGAGCCATCTTCTCAGACCCATGGAAGTCTTTCTTTTCTATTATGTTCTTCTGTTTTCATCTTTAAGAAAAAAAACTGAGAAAGTTGCTTTTCATACCTCCTTAAACCTTTGAAGGTAAAAACTGATTTAGTCTCATTAAAGTAGTGTCACATCTGAGTACAAACTCTTTGCTGTTTTGAAACACTTATTTTATGTTTTTCTCCTTGAGCCTAATAAAGTAATACTTGAAGATGGAGCCAGAAAGCAACTTTGGAATTTTCACCATTATTGCAAATATCAAATAAAACATGGTTAGTTCAATTCTCTATGCAGTGAATTTTGGAAAGAAGGCTAAATTATTTGTAGATGACAAATTTCAAAATGTGAAACAGAGATCTTGTTGGTTAAATCACTTGAACCATCAAGTTTTTCTTAAAGTGTCTCGATATGCTTTTGACTGATACCATCTGTTCTCTGCTGAAAAAAAATTATTTTACCTTGGAAGGTATTCATCAAATTATAGGTGACATATTTGTTTGAGAATATACTATACCATCTGGTGCTATAAAACTGTTTCTAAAAAATACTGCCACCCTGTCTCAGCTATCCATCCACGTTTTTCAGAAGCTCTTTTTGTTGCTCCCAAAACAGAAATGTGATATTTTTGGCTCCAGACTAAAGAAGCAAAGAAAAACATTTGCAAAGAGGTTTGGTTTTTTTTTTTTTCATCTGAACACTATGGTATTTTACAGCTCTTCACTGAAGAAATAAGTAGGTGTCCAGAAGAATAGAGTGTGCAGAAGGAAGGTGGGCTCGAGGAACATTTCATACTGTGAACAGAAAACTGCCAGAATAAAGAGCCCCAGAAGTCCTTCCCTGCGTTCGGAGATTTGTTTAACAGCTAGGTATGTTATCCTATTTGTAATCATGAAAGCCAAATTTTCAATACAAATATACCGTCACTGGTATTAGAATCCTACAGTTGATACTTAGTGTGGTTAAAAGTTATCCTTTCCTTAGGGCTGTTCTTTTATTTAAAAAAAAAAAAGTGGTAGAAAATCCAAGACTATAATCTCTTGTGTATTTTTCATTTTCTCTTAGTAAATTTGCAAGAGAACAACTTTTCTCCAACTGTGCTGGTTTCTCACCAGAATAAGGCTTCTCTAAATCAGCCCCAAATTTCTTTTTGAATACTTTGAATTAGAGCAATGGCGCCAAATCTTCTCACCTCATCTCACCAGCCTCAGTAAGTGCATCACTACAAGGGTAAGAGGATTTGTCTGTCTTCTACCACATTTCACTGGTGTAGTGTTGAGTCATTCATTTCAAATGTTTATTGAGCACTAACTTGTAGCCAGCATTACCAACCCCTAAATACATCACAATGAGCAAAACCAGCTGTGGTATCTCCCATAGAGACCTTAAAGTCCAGTATGTGAGAAGGGAGTTGTTGAAATAACCAACAAAACCAATCTACATTTGTAGGTATGTGGAGAGTTAGGAAGAGCTAGGAGTGAATAACTAACATAAAAAAGGTATTGTGTGAAATTGTCAAGAATTAAACACAAAGGTTGTGATAAGCTCTGGGAGGAAGTGGAACTTGATATGAGAGGTGAAGCAAGAGTGGCTTGGAGTGTCTCAGTAAGAAAGTAATGAGTAAGGCTGGGAGTAGCTCAGTAAGGAAGGCAGAAGAGAGACTTGGAAAAACAAAAAACAAAACCAAGGCTTCCACAAACACTAATTTACTAAACTAGCACAACCCTTAACAACAATCTATAAAAATTTGTCCTTATACCCACATCTACATGCGGTCTTTCCCCTCATCAAGGAAACTTTTCTTTCCAACAGATAGAGACCATTATAGAAAACCACAGTCAATCAAACTGCAGAGTGTGGAGCCCATTACCAAAGGATACATAGACCATAAAACTCCTATACCTGAGGCTCAGGACACACTACAGAAAAGGGAGCAGAACAACTGTAAGAGCCAGAGAATCAGGAAGTTTAGGGTAAAACTGTGTCTCCTAGCAATATCAGAAGCTGCCCCCATAAAGTCACACCAAACTGTCTGCCCAAATGTGAGCTGAACAAGGAGGACACCAATGAACATGCCAAAGTAGAGGCCCAGGAGACCTCAACCCTACACAAGGAGCTTTAAGCAACTGAGGAAGGCTGGGAGTGAGGGAGGTGTTCTCCAGGGAAGAACACACCAATTGCTTGTCCAGTGCCAAACACTAAGCCCTGAAAACATACGTGCAGGTAGCATTATATGAACTGAACAGGTTGTATTTAGGACTGCATAACTATATACATGCAATGACAATGAAAAAAGAGGCCATGAATTTGGAAGAGAGTGGGGAGTATGGAAGAGGGAAAGGAAAGGAAAATGTAATTATATAAATCTCAAAAATAAAAATTTAAAGACCTCCTGTGCCTTTTCAATTGCAACAAAAATGTAAAAAAAAAATTGATACATACTTATGATTAATGTCAGAAAGACTTCATGATAGTTTCCAATGATCCACCAAGAGCATTTTTCATACCATGACCCAGCAGAGCACAGAGGGGGTCAAGGAATGAGACTGTGAAATGTAGAGTTCCTTTGTGTCATCCAAATATTCCGCTGTTTTGTTTCTACTGGAAGATTTTACTCAGATCTGAAAGGCCGGACTTGTTCAGAGGGTTGACATATCAAAGTTAAAAATCTATTGTATTTGTTTTGTATTACTGCCATCAGACTGTAATAAATTAGTGTCTCATGAAAACAGTTCATTTTCACTATTCTTTACCTATTAAGTGCAACTACTGGGCTGATAAGATGGCTCAAAGGTTAAAAGCACTTATCCACTTGCCTGGCAAGCCTGATGACCTGAGTTCAATCTCTGGAACTCACATAAAAAGTTAGATGTGTAATCCCAGCACTCCCAAAGCTCACTTGGGGTGAATCACCTGGAAAGCTCTCAGGACCGCTAGCCTGGTGTACATAGTTCAGTGGAAACAGCAAGATAGCAATAAGATGGAAGGAGAGAATCAACTCACTAAAGGTGTCTCTGCCCTCCATGCATGTACCATGGCACATATAGGCACATGCACGCGCGCGCACACACACACACACACACACACACAGAGAGAGCTATCATCATCATAAAATTATAATAATGAGTCCAATGACTGTGCCACTCTGTTGGTAATTCAGCTCAAGGCTAAAATCAAGACATTGGGCTGCATTTTCTTTAAAGGTTTTGAGAATGAAATATCTAGGTTTATACAAGTTGTTGGCCAAATTCAGTTCACTAGACTATGAGACCCAAGAGACTGTGTCTTGTTCATTATCCACTGGAGCTTCTCTCAGCTCTTTCATTCTGTTGCTTTCTCATCTGGAAGCCATCAGCTAGATATCATATTCCAGAACTTCAGATGTGCCTCTAAATATCCTTTCAGCTTTGTTTCCTCTATGTCTCGTCAGAAGAAAACTCCTTCACATTAAAAAAAATATATATATATGCCATCCAGATTCCCCAGACAATCTGTATTTCAAGGGCTGTGCTCCTGAGTGCATCAATGAAATTTCTTTTTGCTGTAAAATATATCAAGGGAACAAGGAATTACAGCTTGAGCATCTTTAGGAGGCCATTATTTGGCCATTTTAAAAGATGACTGTCCACCAGCCATAGCACAAAATTATTTCTTTTGAGACAACTCTCCAAGGAAAAAGATGAGATGTGTAATTTGGTGTGCAATTTGTGACCTATTGTGATGTAAAAAATTGACATGTAGAGAGATGGGAACAACATAAAAGACGTGGTACCTTACAATTATGCTTGCTGCTTCTTGTTAGGGTCTAGGGTTCCTTTGAGATGCCATGACTGTAGGTTATCTTCTTCAGCAGGGTTTGTCTTTTAACACGTTTGCCTCAAACTTGTGCTACAGTGTAATATATGATTGAAGCTACTGTCAGCCTTTATGTTTATGTTCCTTGAGACTCTCTAAATTCCTTCTGAATAGCACTACATTTGCTTAAGAATTAAAGCCAACAACTGACGATTGGGACTCACATAGTTAAAAAACAAAGGAAACAATCAACAGAGTGAGAAAGAAGTCCACTGAGTGGGAGAGAATTTAAATAACATATAAAAGTTGATATAGTCTGAATTACAATGGCGCTTTAGGTAGCCAGTGCGAGGTAAAAACTTATGCCCCAATTTTAATAAATTTGATGTGTATGTATGAATATAAATGCATATGAAATATGGCAGGTGTCTGGAGTCAAGTGGACAAGTTCAGGTGTTGATCTTCAGATACCTTCTATCTGTTGTTTGAGACACAGTTTCTTGTTGTCTTGGGAGTTCCCCCATAGTGACTGATCAGCTGGCCAGCAAGCTTCCAGGGATCTTCCTGTCTCTGCCTTCCCCCTCTCTGCCTTCATAAGGAAAATGATGCTTACAGTCATGTCAAAAAAGAGATCTGACAAAGGACATTTAATCACAGGAAGAAATTTCTCGGGGACAAAAGCCAAGATATATGACATATTTCAAATAAAAATATAACAAACATCATTTTAAGAGTCATATTAAAGACTAAGCTATTCTACACAAAAAATATAAATATGTGTATGGCACTTTGAAGTGATGGAAGAAAGTGACTAAGTCTGGCTATGTCATTAGCTTGCATGTCATTCTGATATCCTTGATCCTAGCATAACAATGCTAGAATTGTCAGCTTAGGAGAAGGCTAAAATTAATCAACAAAGAGATGCTTTGGATGGAATTGAAAGTAGAGCAGAGCATTTTACAAATAGCATCACCGAGGACAAAGAATAAGCATTGGTTTGTAAAGTCTAACAATTAAGGAGATGTATGCAAACAAACATGGAGATCTCAGAAACAGCTGAATTAGTCCAAATTTTATTCAACGTTCTCAAGAAATGTCGGAAACATTACATATACTTTCCTATTTGTATAGTAATGGATCCTTGGAAAAATAAATGCCTAAGTAGAAATAATCATCTCTAGATAAATTGTGTTCTAGGAAGATGCTCATGGTTGGTTCTAAAAGTAACCATTCTCCCTTTCCAGAAAAAAAGCAGTCTCAAATGGGTAACAACTATTAACAGGTCACAGATTAGTTACTAAGATCAAAAGCAAACAAAGGGACACCAAGCTGCCCTTAAAAAATCTGTTATAATGTTTTATAGTTGCTTAAGTTTGTTTGATTTTAATACACAAATAACTAAATTATTGATATGGCCTTTACAAATAAATATTTTATGTAAAATGACAATATTCAACACTTAATTGTGGCAAATATTGGAGCAAATTAAATATCGCAATGTGGAAGAATACAAATAACATTTTAGTTCATGTGTGACTAATTCATATTAGGAGAGGGGACCAAATTAATCAGAAACAACTTATGTCACATAAATCAGATAAGTAATTATTAATTACACTGAAATTTTGAGATTTTTGAGATATGGAAGTATATGTAAAGCTATATTGAGTTAAAATAATGAAAATCATTAAAAAAAATTATGCCGCCAGCCGGTGGTGGCACACGCCTTTAATCTCAGCACTTGGAAGACAGAGGAAGGCGGATCTCTGTGAGTTTGAGACCAGCCTGGTCTACAGAGTGAGATCCAGGAAAGGCGCAAAGCTACACAGAGAAACCCTGTCTCAAAAAATGAAAAAAGAAAAATAAAAAATAAAAAAATAAAAAATTATTCCTATGAGCTTTAGGCAACACTATTCTTTTCCTAAACAAAGCCACCTTATTGGCATGCTTTGAGTAAAGTTGTTGGGTTAAATGTTTCATACTAAGTAGACTTACTGTTCTTTAATGCCAACTTAAATTGTATTGTAAGACCCTTAATTAACTGTAAGACTTCAGACTTAATTAACTTTAAGACCCAAGGCTTAAAAATGTTCAAGTAATTAAAGTAAATAGAAACTGATCCTTGTAACAGAGGATGTACCACTTAGTAAGTAGGGACACTGGCAACAATATCAAGCAAAAATAGTTGGCCACCATACACAAATTTTACAGACATTGATTAATTATCACATATTTAATTACATTAATTAATAATTGATTGTTATATTAATTTTATAGTTAATTGTTATATTAATATTACTATGTGATAATTGTTACATTATTAATACATTTCCTTCTTAATATCAACTTTAAGAGACTCAAATTAGAAGAATGAAAATAGAGTCTTAAAGCATGTTTAGTAAGGGAAACTAGGAGGGTTGATTCTAGAGAGCTTCTGCACTCCCTATGTATGTGAGGAAATATCATGAGGAAACCTGTCCCATAACAGCTAATACAAGTTAATAGACAGGAATAAAAGAAACTCAACTACTCAGTGTGAAACAATACCTTTTAAGCTTCTAATTTAAACTTACATAATGACATTTTAATATTATTTGATATAGCTACATCTTAAATATATATATATATACAGAGATATCAAGATTAAATTAAAAATAAGTAATATGTGGGTTTTTAAAAAGAGAGCAGTTAGATCACAGAGGTAAGTGGTCTTCCTGTGTACAGCCTGCCTTCGACACAAAGCTCTATAGCACTCTTGTTTATCTCATAGTCTACCCAATTTGTGTAGGATAACTGCCTAGCTCCTGAAATCTTTGTTCTAGTAAGATTTATAGGATTTTGAGCTTTTTTAAAAATATTTTGTAACTATAACCAGCTACCTGCAAACAACCAGCTACATGCAAATAGGAAAGTAAAGACTCTTTCATGCCTTCAGGACTTAAAAGGTGACTTCTCTGGCCAACAACACAAGGCTCTCACTATCTCTCGTTCATTGACACCTGATGTTCATCCAAAGGCATTTATTGTTCTTTTCTCAATAATAAACCCCCAATTTACATGAAACTGAGAAGACTTACAAATTTATAATCATTTCTAGTATTCCATTGAAATACAGACTTCCTCTGGCAATTCCTGTGGCCCTTGACAAGGAGAGATACCTATAATGGGAAGTTAAAAAGAGACATTCCATCTATGCTTACTCAGAGGATAAAATAAAAAAGGGGGAAGGTTCAATTAAACCTAGATTAATTTTATTCAGGGAAAGAGTTCCTATTTGAGTGTAACTTACGTAATACTTCATGGTGATAGAGCATGCCCAGATTCATGAACTTAAATAGACACAGTAACAACACCAAGAAAATTTTACACCTAGATTGAAATTCCATGAATCAAGCCTTTCCCTTCTGACCAAAACAGAGAGTGGAGTTTCATTCCTACCTAAAACAACCTAAAGACACAGAATATGTAATAGGCTTTTATGACTGCCGATTTCACCAAGAAAAGACAATGGTCCTTGAGAAATGGAAAGCAAATGAGGTAACCCATGACTGTCTACAGTAACTTCTCTGACAAGTTTGCAAGCCTGGGACACAGAGGTCAGAATTAGTAAATTCAACATGTTATAAGAAAGTAGACAAGCCAGCCTGTGGTGGCGCATGCCTTTAATCCCAGCACTCGGGAGGCAGAGGCAGGAGGATCTCTGTGAGTTCGAGGCCAGCCTGGTCTACAGAGCAAGATCCAGGAAAGGCACAAAGCTACACAGAGAAACCCTGTCTTGAAAAACAAAAACAAAAAAAAAAGTAGACAAATTCCTTGAAAGGCACAGGCTAGTAAAACTCACACATAACCTGTGTGACCCTGTATGTATTAGAGAAATTAAATTTGTACTTGAAAACCTTCTGGCAAAGAAAGCTCTAAGACCAGACAGCTTCAAAGGGCTTATAAAAAAAAATTAAAAAGAAGTCAGACTCCCAAGTGCATTCCAAATAAAAAAGTATTATCCATGTACTAACGCCTAATAAAAATATAACAAACAGAAAAAATGCAGAAATGAAACATTTCAAAAACATGGGTATAAAATTTTAATCCAAATTAAAAACTAAATCTAAAATTATATAAATATATAATGTAAAATGAATAATTCTTTTATTTTTAATCTTACCACTCCTTTTTTGCATATGTTTGCACGTAGTGCACGTGTGTATGAAAGTTTGCATGTGCATGAGAGAGACACATGAGAGAGACAGAGAGTGACGGGCCAGAAATTGACCTCAGGGGGTTTTTGCAAATTGCTTTCCACTCTTTACTAAGGCAGAGTCTCTCACTGAATCTAGGCTTGCAAATTTTCCTATTTTAGTTAGTTTGCCTCAGGGATCTCCAGTCCCCATCTTCTGAGCATTGGGGTAACAGGCCAGCTCTCATGCCCATCTGCTTTTTTATCTGGGTACTGTGGATCCACACTCTGATCCTTACACTTGTGTTTTGTCTACTGAGCTGTGACCTCATCTTTCACCACTCCTTACAATATTGGTAGTTCCATAAACAAACTGCTGAAATGACCTCCTCTTAAGAGGCTGTCTCAGTTAGGGTTTCTATTGCTGTAAAGAGACGCCATGACTATGGCAACTCATAAAGAAAAACATTGTATTGAGTTGGCAGCTTACAGTTTCCGAGGTTTAGTCCATTATCATCATGGCAGGGAGTGTGGCAAAGTGCAGGCAGACATGGTGCTGGATGGAGCAGGAGCTGAGATTTCTTACATCTTGACTCACAGGAAGTAGTTTGAGATGGTAGGGTAGTATCTTGAGCATATATATCAAAGCCTGTCTCCATAGTGACACACTTCCTCCAACAAGAACACACCTACTCTACAAGGCCACACCTCCTAATAGTGCCACTCCTTTTGGGGGCCATTTTCTTTCAAATCACATAAGCCTATAACATTCTTGGCTTGTGGATATAACTAATTACTCCATGCTATTTACTAGCACTTTGTACAAAAGGAATGTTAATGGAGTTTTTATCTGAATCTGTCAAATGTTAATGGACTAGACATCATTAATGTAATTTTTGGCTGGATATATTGTATATACTTATTGGATAGTTTTTCTTGTATTAGTTATAAGCTTTTTTAAATTTTAGACAAAAAGAAAAGAAATGTGGTGGTATTGTGTTCCCAAAAATATTGTGTACCTTAATAAAGTTTTTACTGTCATTTTAAAAAAAAATGACCATGTTAGGGTACTAGAGAGATTGCTGAGTGTTGCACAAATCCTAATTGGTCTTAATAAAATTGCACAAATCCTAATTGGTCTTAATAAAAAACCTGGAGTCAGATATCAGAGTGAAAGCTGCAAAACCAGAGAAGCAGAACAAGCCACAGTTACAACCTCTTACCTCACCAACTCCTCAGCCTGAAAGAGGGCGGGTTCCTGTCTCCCACCGCCTTGTATTTCTTTCTCTGCCGAGCCATATCACTTCCTTTCTCAATCTTCCTAGTGCTAGGATTAAAGGTGTGTACCACCACTGCCTGGCTCTGTTTCTCTTTTAGACTGGATTAATCTCAGGTAGCCCAGTGTGGCCTTGAAC